TCCATCAGAGCTCTAATGTGATCAAGAACATTGCGGATACCATCAACAGTTGGAAATTTGGAATAGCAACACCATGAACATGCAGAGAATCAGCTTATATTGAGACTTCTTGTTAGGGAATTATTAGAAGTCTAACAAAACAAGGAATCTTAAACAATTTCAATAATTAAATTAAATGCCAGCAAGATGGCAATATCAACAGAGAATTATACAATTATGAGACTTCTTGTTAGGGAATTATTAGAAGTCTAACAACACAATAAATCTTAAACAATTTCAATAATTAAATTAATGCCATCAGCAAGATAACGGAGAATATTAACAGCGAATTATACAAATTTTAACGGAGATTAGAATGTTTAACGGAAAAAGTTAACGGTGTGTGGGTATTTAAGGAAAGAAAGTCATATAATTAAGGATAAATTTAAAAATCTTAAGAAAAAATTAAAATCTGATCAATCTGAACCATTCATTTCATTTAAACATTTGACCGCTATTTTTTCTACACATTATAGGCCTAACTCTCTTGGGCTCTTATTAGTATAGTAGATATAGAAAAATTCTATAATATAATTTCACTAATTATAATTTATATTGATAGGTTTATAGTTTAAAAATTACATTTAAAAATTAAAAAGGTAGCATTTAAATTTTGTATAGTCAGTATAGTGCATAAGTGTATAAATGTATGTATTTACAACAATTTATAAATGTTTATATTCTGTTAATTTGATAATTTCATTTCCTTAATTATATTTTATATTTTATTAATTATAATTTAATAAAATTGTCACAAATATATCCACAAAAAATATTATTATTATTATTATTATTATTATTATTATTATTATTATTATTATTATTATTATTATTATTATTATTATTATTATTATTATTATTATTATTATTATTATTGCTTTCACACTTTGGAGGGAAAAAATTTTTGTTAATTATTTTACTTTAATATATATAGAAATTAAATATTACAGATTACAGAATATTAAGATTTGATACAAATAATATATATATTTTTCATTCTGATGCAGGAATAACAAATAATAGTCCATCTGTCCCATTTTATTTGTCCTATTTATTATTCATTGGTCAAACCAGTTCTTATTTCTTTGTTTATTTTCTTTAGTATTTTATTTATTTATTTTTAAATTTGAGTTTTTGTGTTTAATTGTACTTTTAGTGTAATTTCTAAATATATAAATTTTGTATGTTAATACTAAACTTAATATTATGTCTTAAAAAAAAATACTAAACTTAATATTATAAAAAATTTGATTAAAAAAACTTTAGTCAAGTCTCGTTAATCGAACCAAACACACACAATGGGCAATCGTTATACCCTACACCACGGCGCGCGTAGCACTGTGCGCCGCGCGCCTCCCAAAACAATGTCGTTTTGGGGTCGTTTTGGGAGGCGCGGTAAGAAGTTGCTGTGATTATGTATATTTTTTCACACAATTATGTATATTTGTTCATACAATTATGTATATTTGTTCATACAGTTATGTACATTTTTTATACAATTATGTACATTCTTTTTATACAATTATGTACATCCGAATCAGAAAATTTGTGTGTATTATGTTAAGAGTTGATGTGTATTATGTTAAAAGTTTATATTTATTATGTATTATGTTAGATTATGTGTATTATCTTTTAAAAAGAGTATGTATATTTTATTATATAATTATGTACATTCATGTATACAATTATGTGTATTCTAGTATAACATTATGTACATTTTTGAACAGGGTTTTTTTTAAAGAAAAAATAACTGCCATTCACTGGGGCGGGAAATTTAAAAAAAAAATAAAATATTAAGACGACGCCGTTTTGCATCTGGGTGCACAGTGCAACGCGCGCCGTGATGTAAGATATAAATTGCCCACAATGGGACGGAGAGAGTAACAATAGAATTCGGGAATGTTACCTGAAAACCCAATAATGCAATATTTGTTGATTGAAATCAAATCTATATGCAAACATGGAATCTCACTCGAGATAGAAAAGTCAATAGCCCAATAATACTATTTCTTTTGGGCAAATTATTGTGTTGACCATGGTCCACATAATGTTGTATAGACCATAAAATAAAAGAAATTATATTTTTAATATATTAAAAGTATATTATTTGTATATTGAATGTACATTATATAAAATAATATACTTTTTCTGAATACAAAATACATTTTTTATATACTAAAAGTATATTATTTTTTATACTAAATGTACATTATTTTATAGTATACAAAATATGGTCCACATAATAATGTATTTTTTTTTTTTTTAAAGCAAGCAACTCAACACTTTAATTAAAGAAAGCTAAAATAGAGTCTGGAGGGATCCCTCCCCCAATACATTGGACCGAAGCGAGAATCAACTGCCTTGGTTAATGCATGGGCAGGTTGATTCGTCGAACGAGAAATATGACGAAAAGTGTATGAACTAAACGAGTTACTAAGAAATTTAAAAGAATAAACTATAGAATCAAAATAAGAGCAGTCTGAACCACTCCTACTAAGGGCATGCATGGATCAGGTTAAAACAATTAGATTCGGCACGGATATCCGTCCACACTTTGGACTTAATCCATGATAGAACTTCCTCGCATGCCATTGCCTCAACCATTAATGGATCTTGAATGCAAACCAATGGACCATTTGTAGCAGCTACGGAACCACCGTCCCCCAAGAAAGTGTGTTGTCGTGCTTCTTTGGAAAATACGTGCTATGTATTTGTTCAATCGTTATGCCTTGGAACTGTGTTCACTATCCATGGTGAACACGGTATCAAACGGTAACGGTGCCTACGGACACCTTATCTTCCATCAATCTTCTTTTTTTTTTTTTTTTTTTTTTTTTTTTTTTTTTTTTAACAACGCGACTTTTCTTCTTCATATTCACATTTTGCAGTTTCACTTCCTCTTCCCGCAAGTTTCTTCAACACTCATAAATTATGAATGTGCAGGCATGGATTTATGAATGTGCAGTTATGAAATTATGAATTTTCTTTTATGAGATTATGAATTTTCTGTTATGAGATTATGAATGTACAGAAAATTCATAATTACATAACTGTAAATTCATAATCTCATAATAGAAAATTCATAATTTAATAAATGTAAATTCATAATCTGAACATAGAATGCAAAACACCGTTAACAGTACATTAACTAGTTTTTTTTTTCGGTAAAAATTATGCCGTTTGGGACCGTGTTCACCAAGCATGGTGAACACGTTTCCACGGCATAATTTGCGGTATTTGTTCCCTATGACCCTACTTTCCGCAATTGTTATAAGGTGGACCATGGTCCACACAGGGACGACCATGATCCAAAACGATACCGTTTCTTTTAATAAAAAGAAATGGCTGTTGTTACGTTCAACTAATCGTGTGTATGCGACGTACCTAGTTTATTTATTTATTTTTGAAATATAAAAACGAAAAGTAAGATTTTGGCTTCATTACCTCTCGAATGTGCTCTTGTTATTCTCCGAGCTTTAGAGCAATTGTCACTTGTAGCAATCGAATCCGGATCATCCCAAAATTCTTACCACTGAGAGAACTCATTTATCACTTGAACTATCATGTTGGATTTAGAGCAACTGTATTCTTCACTTTCCAACACCATTGTTGCAAGCCTAAAGCTTCATTAAAGGTAATAATATTGTTATCCTATAGGCAATGTTTCATTCGTTGCTAAATATATTAAAAACTAAACACAATGTTTCGCAGAAAAACTAAACGTTCAGAACACTAAATACTAATGAAATGTAGATACGTTCAAATGTAGTAATGTTCATTATGCATAAGCTATATATATATATATATATATATATATATATATATATATATATATATATATATATAGAAGAGCGCTCATATGCGGCGGGGTCTTACGGTGCGGCGGTGCGGTCAAATTCCAGAATACACCAACAGTGTTAACAATATGCACCAACAGTGTAATAAAAACACACCCCAATGAAATGTAATAAAACATCACAAAATACACCACAGACTCAAAAAAACACACCATATAACTCACCACACCCCAATGGTGTATTTCCGAACAGTGTATGGTGTTTTTACTCACACCTAATGGTGTGTGTTTGGTGATGCAGGGCTCTGTTTACTCTGTTTTGTGTGGTGTATTTCCTAACGTTGATGGTGCATATTTGGTGAACTATTGGTGTTGCCGCACCGTAAGACACTGCCGCACCTGAACCCGCCTCTATATATATATATATATATATATATATATATATATATATATATATATATGTAGATGCTCATATGCGGTCATGGCCTTAGGTGAGGCGGTGAGGTCAGTTTACAGCCGTTGATCGAAGTTAATCTAACGGCAGCGACATATTAGTTGAATTAAGTAAAGTTTGTCGCGTTTTTGGTAAGCGGGGGCGTTTCAGTAATTTAGTGGGATGGGGACGTGAATGTATAAAAGACGGTTTATTTTGTGTGATTTTAAATACGGAAGGAAAGAGAGATCAAGACATCGTTCGTGATCGCGTCGCAATTGGAAGAAGATCAAGATCCCGATCGTGTTCGTGATTGCGCCCCAATTGGAATTCGGAGAATATCGCTGGAGATCACAATCGGAAGTTGGACGAGATATCAGTTGCGTTTGCAATTACAGATTATCGCAGTTGGGAGATTATTGAGGTTGAGCGATGGAGCCTGGTATGTTTTGAATTTCTCATGTTTGTAGTTTTAATCTGTCTTTTGTATTACTATGTGTCTGTTATGATTTGGAAGTTTATCGCATGCTTTTTTTATGGATTTGCTGTGTATCGATGTTGACTATGTTGCTGTGTGTTGTTTTGTGATTACGGTTTACTTTTTGTATACTCGTGGTGCATATATTATTCAATGATGTGTATGGCAGTATTAGATTTTATGCATGTATAATGTGCATGTAGGTAGGGTTATTCGTGTGGTATTGGATAAGGTGTGGTGCTTTATTAGTTAACATGTGGTGTGCAGCTGATGTTTTGCAATCTGGTGGTATTTGTGGAGAAGGCAGTGGTGGTGTTTGTGATAACTCAACTGATGTTTGTGGAGAAGGCAGTGGTGGTGTTTGTGATGAAGGTAATCCCACTGATGTTGGTGTAGAATGCAATGGTGATGGTTGCGATGAAGGTAATGTGACTGATGTTGGAGTAGCAGGCAGTGGTGTGGGTTGTGATGAAGATTATTTGGCTGATGTGGGTGTACAAGGCAGTGTATGTGTGTTGGAAACTTCTCCTGGGCTGACTAAGTATTGGCGCCCAGTTTGTGCTGATAGTGTGAAGCCTATTGTGGGGCAACAATTTGTTTCCTTGGATGGTGCTGTTGTGTTTTATAAACAATATGCTGGGACTGTTGGGTTTGATTGTAGGCAGCACTCAATTCGGAAAGATAGGGATGGTGTTGCTGTGGAGAAGCACGTAGTATGTAACCGTCAGGGTTTTAAGCAGAGGGTTTCTAGGGTTGCTAAAACTACTTTGGCGAGGAGACGGAGGGTGACAAATAGGGTTGGTTGTAAGGCTAAGGTTGTGATAAAGCGTAAGTCTAATGGGTTGTATGTTGTGCATTATTTTGAGGAACGTCACACCCATTCGATGTGTTCAATTATTGCTAGGCAATTTTTAAAGGTGAATCGTAGTCTCGATGCTGGGCACCAAATGTTTATTGCTAGTTGTGTTCGGGCAAATATTGGGTCTGTTCGGTCATATAGGCTGTTTAAAGAGATTGTTGGTGAGTATTCCAGTGTCGGGGCTACAGGTGTGGATTTTAAGAATTTCAAGCGTGACCTGATGGCGTACATTCTAAATGGTGATGCTCAATTATTCATAGACACGCTATTCAAGAGACGTGAGTTGTGTGAGGCATTTGATTTTGAATATGATGTTGATGAAGGTGATCAGCTTTCAAGGGTTTTTTGGGCGGATGCAGTATCTAGGAAGAATTTTGTGTTGTTTGGTGATGTTGTTTCATTTGATGCTACATACCATACTAACAGGTTAGTATTTATTTTTATTGTGCATGTTGTATTTGTCTGTGGTGCACGATTCCATACCTTATGGTGTGTCTTATTAGAACTATGGTGTTGATTGCTCGTTGTGTTGTAGGTATAAGTTGGTGTTTGTTCCATTTTCTGGAATTGATAACCATAAGAGATCCATCACCTTCGGTGCTGGTTTGCTTACGAGGGAAGATGTAGACTCATATGTGTGGCTTTTGGAGAAATTTAAGAAAATTATGTGTCATGACCCTATATGTGTTGTTACTGATCAAGATCTAGCTCTCAAGGTTGTTGTTGCTCGCGTGCTTGGTACATCAAAACATAGATTTTGCATGTGGCATATAATGTGCAAGGTTGGTGAGAAGGTTGGACCAATTCTATCTAAAGATGAAGTGTTTAGGAGGAAGTTGAATGGCACTGTCTGGAACAAATCACTGGACTCCAAGTCATTTGAGGAGGCATGGAGTTTTATCATGGAGGAATATGGTTTGGGTGACAATGGTTGGTTTCGTTACTTGTTCGAGTCTCGTACATATTGGGCATCCCCATATTTTCACGACGAGTTTATGTCAGGACTGGTTAGGACAACGTCTCGATCAGAGTCTCAAAATAGTTTCTTTGGTACGTTCTCTAATGGTCATTCTAGTTTGGTTGAGTTCTTGGTGCATTTTGGAAGTGCTGTTGGTGCACAGCGTCATGCACAAGCAAAATTGAATGCTGATTGTGAATCTTGTTTTCCTGTTTTGAAGACACCATTGGCTTTGGAGAAGCATGCAATGGATGTTTACACCATTTCTGTATTTTATGATGTTCAAATAGAGATTTGTGCAGCTTGTTATTCGTGTCAAGTGGTGTCTTTGTGTGATTGTGATGGCCATGTGTTATATGGGATAAAAGATGGTGCCCAACGGGCATGGTATGTGGAGCTAGTCTTGTCTGATTATACTGCTACATGTTCTTGCAAGATGTTTGAGCGGACGGGGCTGTTGTGTAGGCATATTTTTTTTGTGTTTAAAGATCGTGGGCTTGAGAGTATTCCTTCTAGGTATGTGGTGACTCGGTGGACAAAGGGTGCTTGTTTGAAGCCAATATTTCATATTGATGATACAATTGTTGATCAATCTTCTAAAGTGGAGAATGTTAGGATTTTTACTAATCTATTGTGGTCTGACATATATGCTTGTGTGGGCTTGGCCGATGGTAATATAGAACGTTTGTCACAGCTACGACGTGTTATTTGTGAGCAAAGGCAATTATTTCTGCAAGAGGGGAGTGAGGATGGCAGTGGGGTGGTGGCTGGTGGCAGCAAACAAAGTGTGATCAATTCATTTTGTGGAGATGTGTCTCAGGGTTCAACAGTGGAGGTGCGTGATCCTATTCAAGCTAAGAACAAGGGTAGCGGTAAGCGGTTGAAGAGTACAAGGGAGAAAGCTGCTAGCAAGTGTGTAAAGCAATCAAGGAAATGCCATACTTGTGATGAATATGGTCATAATAGTAGGACATGCCCTTTAAATGGTTAGATACAGTTGTGTAGTTTGATTTGGGACCTATATGTTTTCACAGTTGCGTACAATTCTTATAACACACAGTTATGCATTTTATTACAGTACTTGGTGTTTTTTAATAAACAGTGTGGTGCATTTAAGAATGTCGGATTTTTTTATATTAGAATGGTGTGTTTTATTCCGTTTTGTGGTGCATATATATAGACTTATGTTGGCTGTAATATATTGTGTGGTGCATTTTATTTCACATGTTGGTGTATTTTGCAAGTAAAAAGTGGAATGGTGCATGCTATTTGTTATAATGGTGTTTTTGATGTGTCCTTTTTATAAAATGAAGTGTATGCATAATAATACTGCATTTATAGCAATGCAAATGGGTAACCCATTCACAAGTACCCATCACAAAAAATTGTTTGTCTAGTAGTCATATGGTCTATGCCATGCCATCACAAAAAAACATTTACATGATTGAAAGTCTTCCTAAACACCAAACTCTGCTGCCTTCTGTATGTTTATTTCTTTCAGTTCATTCACATCTGAGGTGATCAAGGTAGCCAAGTACCTCACTCGTAACTTGTTCAATTGTTCTTTGTTGTTTTTCTGCAATCCACAATCCCATTCTTCAGCTGACTGTCCACGGAAGGTTTCCATATGCCGCATTAAAAAGATGCCACAATCCTTTTTGTTATGCGCATCTCTCCAATGCATCTTCATTATCTTGGATTTCAACTTCTTTACCTTCTCACCTTTGTATGCGGATTTCTGTTCGATCAACATATTTGAAAAGAATTTTTGCTGCATCAAGGAAGCATACAACAATATTAGTTTTTTGTGTCGTTGTGTATTAAATATATATAACCAGGTAGTGTTTAGTGGGTTACCAGATTGTCAAGCACATATCCGTATTTGTCCTGTTTCTTCACAGGTGCTGAAGAGTTGTCAATGATGTCATACTTTTCCATTAGTGGGCTAATAGACAGCAAGTAGTAGTGGTTGGATGCCACTATGGGAAACAGAAACTGTCATAACAAAAACACACCGCTTGTGTCATAATATACACCACTATATGAGTAATAATGCACCACAATTAGACAAATACACCACTTACGTATACAACTTTGTGCCACACGATGTCTATAGCAATCGCCTTGTCTTGCAGATACTTTTCTTTGAACCTTTAGAATCTTAATTTTTCATCCCCCTGCGGGTTCACAACTGTGAACAGCTGCAAAGTTCAATGATGTAGTTGTTAGATTTGTAGGGGTTTTATAGGTGTAGTTACTTTCATATTATTTGCTTACACTTGTCTAGGTTGAAGCAACGAATTTTGTAGACCCTCTCTCTCCTTCACGAATGTTTAGTATGGCCGCCCAAGCATCAACTATAGATACTGGAATTTCAGTATCTGGCGCCATTAACAACATATCTCTCCAGTAGATTACCCGCCCTTCATACCTGAATAGTTCCTGCTCACTGGTAATAATGTATTGTATAAGCAACAAAAATATTAATACATCATTATTAAATCATACACCGAAGTTATAGCAGTAACACACCATTAGAAGTTAATATTTCATTTAAAGAGAATACACCAATATATATAGAGATATACACTAATAACTATTGAGTATCACACAAAACCTAAGCAAACTAATGTGACCACCTGATGTGTCAACACAGACAACCATATAAACACACCAATAGTTATCAAATAATGCACTAGTTAATATATGATAATTATACACCAATATTATTATACAATGCACCAAATATATCTTAGAAATACACCAAGTAGAATGTGTTGTGCTTACAGTTCTGGGTTAGGGTTTTCTAATACCCATTGTCTGATTTATTCCTCTGTTGAAGTTATTGGGGCTTCCAGATCAGTTGCATATATTCTGGCCTTAGGTCTGATTGGGATGTTCCCTCTAGCTGGTCTCTTTCCTTTGTCCAATGGTTGGGGTGGGGGTGGTGGATTTGAAGCAGGTCCCTCTTGAATTTGGTCTGCCGGTGTGACCTGTAACATTTAGATTTTAAATTTTTTTTTCTTTTTGTCACGTTGCCAATTTAATACAGTGCATTACCTCATCATTGTTATCAGCAGGTGCATCTGGTTCAGCACTCTGTCCATCTTGTTGTCCTTCAGATGCTTCTTCACCCTCATTCATGTTCAGCTCAACTTCCTCATTTTCTGCAGCCTGTTCATTGTTTTGGTAGTCTCGTGCAATATCATTCACGTCCGCCCATCGTCTATTTTGTTCATCTGGTGTCAATCCAAGGCTGAAAGATGGCATATCATTTAGAAAATTTCTCTTGTTTACTGCACGGACAATCTCATCTACTGCCTTCAAGAACTCAGGGTCACTCCAGTAGGCATCCTCTCGTTGAGTAAAGGTCAGTTCTCCATCATCTTGTGCTCTGAATCCAAGCATTTGCCTAGCAGATTCAAACATCTGTTTGAATGTATCATGCTCCAATACTACTGCAGGTGCATTTTCAATTAGCTTTGATATTCTCAGCAGACTCTGTGCAATTGACCTAGTGTGGGTGGTAATCTCATCAACAAACTCCTGTACATGAAACACTATAGTATAAACACACCAATACATATTGTAATATACACCACATATTTATAAAAAATACACCACAGTCAGATAATGCACCATATTACACACAAAATGCACCAATTACCATTGCAGTGGTTGGGTTACCTGTAATCCTTGTGGCAGTGGTGGGGTCTCTTCTTGTGGTGGGGGTGGGGGTGGGGCTTCACAGTGTGTTGTGATCTCCAGTGGTAAGGCAGTATCAACGCGTCCATATCTGAATCCTCCAGACTTGAGCTCATCCTGTTGTCGTTGTCGGAGCAGTTTAAATGTCCAGCTATTCATGGCAGGGTAGCTTCTTGGGACAGACCTCCGGTAGAGCACTACACGGTCAACATAGAATACCTGCATTTGGTAGTTTAGATTATTCATAGGGTGATGTGAAAGTAATTACAAGCTTGTTGAGTGTCTATTTACCGTTAGGAAAACAATTGGACCTCCAAACCTTCCATCACAGCTTTCCAGCCATGCCTTTTTGCTTGCAATGAGTGAATTGATCAGCATTCTACACCAATTGAGCCTCTTGATGTTGTCAACTTGACGCAAGTTGTCAATGTAGCTTTGGTTCACATAACCATTTATCTGTGGCTCCACCAACACACTCATAACAAGTAGTGCAAAATGCCGTTTGAACCATGGGTCAGCAGCTCTCAATGTCAACATTTTTTTAGCCATCTTGCGTGGGGTGATGTGGCCGTCAGCCCTTCCAAAGATTTTTCTCCAGTCTGCCAGGAGATCAGATACTGCTTTACTTTCCCTCTTAGTGATTTCTATGTCTCCAAGCGGCAGTCCCAATGTCACAGCAACATCTTCTTCTGTGATCTGTAGTTTTTGGCCATTTTGCAGATTCAATGTGTTGCTCCTTGCATCATAGTTTTCAACCAGCCACATCCCCAGTTTCCTTGGAAGGTTTGTGATTTTGAGGTCAAGAATCCTTCCCAGCCCAATGTCTTTTATACTCTGGCGTTGTTGTTTGGTTAGGGCATTAATGGGTTTTGTTAGCTGTGTTGGCAGTGGCCTTATCTTTAGGTCAGTATCTTCATTCTCTTGCTCCAATGTATCTATTTCATCATTTGAGCTGTCATCAACTTCTTGTTCATGCACTTTTTCATCTGTCTCTGTTTCATCTTCTATTCTGTCAAGGAATGTCATTGCTTCTTGTTTTCTATGCCTCCGTGGCTTTAACGAGTCTCCTTGGTCTAATGCCTTTCTCTTGTTGTCTGAAATACACAGATGGTAAGACAAAAATACACCATGCATAAAAATTAAACACACCACAACACTCTTTACCAATATTCAAGTTCCAAATCCCAGAAATCACCAATAATAAATGATATATACACTACATTGATGTTCACCATAAAACAAACAACACGTAATGAAATGCCCAGCCTGTAATGCTCAAAAATACACCGACTGTAGGATAAATATGCACAGTGTACAACAAATAAACTCACAACAAATTTTTCACCAGCATTCGAGTTATACATTACAGAAAACACCAATAATAAACGAAATATACACCACAGTAATGCTTATCATAGACAACAAATTCATAATATGAAATACACCAATGGTAGGATAAATATGCACTGTGTACAAAAATTAAACGCCCAACAGTTTTTTCACCAATATTCATGTCACAAATACCAGAAAACAACAATAATAAACGAAATATACACTACATTAATGTTTATAATGCGCAAATAACATGCAATGCGATGCCCTAGTATGAATTGTTCAAAAGAATACAGCGATGGTAGGGTTAAGATGTTAGTTGACACATTGAAGTTAAATATTACAGAATACACTAATAATAAACGAAATATACCATTGCATGCTCGTTGTTTGCCTTTGTTCGCCATTTGTGTGTTTTGTAGCGAATCAGTGTCGTAGAAGACGGTTCGTGTCCCTCTCAGAACGCAGTGGTGTGTTCGGATATAGTCTCCTCGCTGTTCGTCGTTGAAGTTTCTTGTCGTTGCAGTGGTTCGCCTAGCTTTCGTCGCCGGAGCAGGAGCAAGTTGGAGAGGGTTCGCGACTTCGGGATTGTGAATAGGCAGATGAGACGGGGTGTTTACTTGCAGAAGTGGAGAAGTGATCAGTTTGAATTGAACGAATGGACAATTTTGCCCTCTATGTCGCGGTGATCTTTAAGTGAAGCGCGAAATCATCTCAATTATGGTGCATTGGATTGGACTTGATCAACGGATGGAAAATGACCCCACCGCCTCACCTTAGTGTACAGCCGCACCTGATCTTGCCTATATATATATATATATATATATATATATATATATATATATATATACATATATATATATATATATACATATATATATATATACATATATATATATATATATATATATATATATATATATATATATATATATAGAGAGAGAGAGAGAGAGA